CTTTGCTCTGGACTACTTACATGAAACCATTGCAGACTTGGAATTGCATGTGTCAAAGATAGAATCTGAAGCTGGGTGGTTTTAAGGAAGCGGTCTCGGGGTAATATCTCGAGAACTTGATCAAGTTGAGTGCTTATGAAGCGTGAAGCCGAGCTGTGAGCGTCTGCGAAACTGAAGATTGATGTTGCAACATGTGTTGTGTTACTGGACAGTCTAACAATTAACGAACTGTTCATCAGAAATGCATGGATTGCACACCAGTTCACATCTGATGGTGGTATTCACAAACTAATGTTATCCGGATAGCCTTTCCATTGCACAAACCGTTCAGTGCCATTTTCCTTCGCCTTTCGTGTTTGTGAGATGCGTTCATCTTCGTGTTCAGTCGATGCGTTGACTATCACTCATGAAAAATCACCTGCTTAGAAAGTAACTCACTCCGGTCAACCATTTAATGGTTGCTTCCAAATGTGACAGGGTTTCGGTTTACCCGAACACGGAACAACAAACAATTCCTTGTCGTTGATTCCACCAAACTCCCTCTGCAATGTGTGCTTGTTAAATGCTCCTCTCTAATCTACTCAACATATTCGGTGTCAAAGATCAGAGTTGTATCTAGTTGATATGGAAATCTTACTCATGTAGGATGGCATTCATGGAGCGCGTGTGTTTATCCGTAGAATATGCACATTGTCTCATCGATGAGGCGAAATTCAAATTCTCATTCAAGTCACTGACGATTGTTGCTTTCCGGACATTTCGCATTCATTGTTTCTAGTTAAGTTTTTCGGGGGGTGGTTGGTTACAAGATTCGGTTATTGATTGCGCTCGAGCGCCCGCCGATGTAATGGTCAATTTCATCAAGGAGTAAGTTCCTTGCTGTTCGACGGTCTTCTTGAATCGCAAGCTTGTCTTGCGTAAAACTCAGAACACCATTTATCAATATCGTGTTCAACTTAAACACGGTTCCTGTTCACAGATTCGCCAAAAAACGTATCTTGACGCCAATACGCAAGTCGATAAATGAGCACAAGTCAGCTCCAACCAATGTCGCAGCAAACAGTAAGTTATAACAGTTGAAGAATGATCTGACACCTATCCGACTTGCATGTGCTTCCCTTGACACCCTCATTGAAAAACGAAAGAAATGTACACGAAATAATGTGCGACGGACCATGAACGGGGTTTTACAAGGTAATTAATGACAGCTTGACAGACTGCATTGCGACCATTCAGCATTGATATGGTCTATTCATAGTATGAATGTATGGTGCAGTCGCTATTCACGATACAGTCGGTTCGGCGCATACACACAAAATAACGTGTTCACCTTCAAACACTGCCCAATTTGTGATGGATTTTCACGTATAGAACTCCGTAGAGGAACAATCACAGTGTATGACTAAACGGATTTGCCCAAGCATAATTCAGAATTTTGCTACCAGTAAAACACTAACTGATCGGTGAGTTGAACAAAAGCTTAATCCGAAACAATGAAACACGAAACTGAAATCCACATAAGCAAATTGGCTCTCATCTTTCATTCGTGATCAATATATGGGTAAATGCCCACTATGTCTCACTAAAAAAATGTGAAGTCTCAAGAATACTGTGGTTGAAATTCTCGAAAAATGAAGAGACAAACAGTGCATCAGCATATCGACTGTTTCGAACTGGTTATGGAGCGTCCAAAATGGTTATCAATTTAGTGAATATCCGAAAAAAGTGTAAGCACAATAAGGTAGCATCATTCAAATGACTGCAATGGGGCAATTCAATGTAAGCAGTTGAAAGCCTGTGTAATAAATACAGTCCTGAAAGATGAGTTGTATTTAGGCAGTCATCTGTTCATCCATAATATTCATTCTCTTTTATAGAAGAGAAAGATAACGTGCAAATATTTTCCGATGAAGCCAAGGCAACAATGCGAAAATGGCTGAATGACATAACAAAGGTGCAAAACAAGTTTATACCGTGTACATGACAATCAAATTGCGGAAACTTTTCTTTCTAAGATGAAGACCCTCATTCGCTTAAAACAGTTTTTCGAAGCAACACGTTTTTCGAAAAACTGTTTTAGCAGTTTGGGAGTTCCTTGATATTTTTTCTCTTCGGTATGTTTTCTCAAAATCTTCGCGGATTCAAAAACACGAAATCTGAAGAATGTTCACTTGAACATAGTTGAGCGAAAGTGTTTTTAAAGGGTNAAGGGTGGAATTCATCAGTTACGTTTGGATTACAATGAAATCAAAGCGTTCACACCACAAGATTGCAGTACAACCACATTTGATGCTAACATGACAAAATGTCGATATAAAGGTCAATCGATTTCTTGAGTGATATTCTTGAAATAAGAATTCGGAAATCTCAAAATATCAAACCTTAAAACATTTCGAAGGTTGTTTTATCTGACGGCGATAAACATAAAACCACAATCTCCTTATTAAAACGCTTCAAAGATTTCACAGTTAGGTGATAATTTGCCTATAATTTAATAGACTCTTATGGAGCTGATGACGAGGTATTCCATCATTTATTTTGCATGTATACATTGGATTTCATTTCTGCTACGTTAATCATAGCGACTTATTGAATTTGCCTTTTGTTGAGGGCCATTCCATGCAAACATTACACTGAAAAGCTGAGTGTAGTATGCAACAAAATCCATCAGTGACACGGGAATCAATTCGAAGTTTTCAGACGTGAAGTGCCTAGAAAGAACTCGTGTTGTTTTGAAATGGCCACCGGGCGATAAGAACGATTTTATCCATGCAAATTGGGTTAAACATGAACTGCTCGAGAATGATTTTATTTGCTGTCAGGTGCGTGTCTTACAGTGAGTGGACGCACCTCTCCATTCTGCTCATACCTTTACTCATAGCTTTTGAACATTTCATCGTATGGTATCAGTATATGAGTCTTTCACCGTACTGGCTTATCGCACTTCTACATTAGTTTGTACTGAAAGTTATTCATCAATGAAGAATATAATCACATCATTTAACTAAAGCAACATCAGAGGAATGGTTCATCATATTACTGCAGAACAATTTTAAGGTACTGAAATAATGTATGAGGGCATAGCAAGTAATATCAGTGCTTCCAGATTCTATCAATTATTTTAGAATTACTGGCGAGATTTTATGTCAGACTGTATTTTAACCAAATTGTGTCAATTTCCACCCATTCATTACCACACGTGCATGCACAGTTCAATCCACCACCTTTCCTATCCATCTGTGGGCCAGAATCACAATCAAGCATGAACTCACAGAGGGCAGTGGTTCTACATCTTACATCCCAATACAACAACAAACTAGCATGTCACCTCTTTAAGGCTCCGCTAGAGGCAACGATGGGAAATTTTTGGCGTATGGTTTGGCAAGAAAAAGTACGTCAAATTATAATGTTGTGCAATTTGGCCGAGCTAGGAAAAGTAAAATGTTGTGAATATTGGCCTCAAAAGGTGGGCAATAAACTGGAATTCGGCAATTTAACAATCAGTTGCAAGTCAGTGGACACAAGCGACTCGAGTTTCGTCTACACAAAACTTGTTCTTCAATGTGCGGTTATCATTCTCTACGATTCGCTTCAGTGATTGCTAACACATATGGACAGTCAATTAGTGCAAATAATGTTGAAAACTCCGTCGTAAAAAATTCGCGGTCAAAATCAACATCATAATATAGCATAACTGAACAAAACTGAAATATGAAAATATTTCCGATGAATATTGATAGCACTGAGCTGGTATTGCGCAGTATAATTTTGCATCAGATGCGTTTTTTGGAGGCACTGTAAGCATGAGTAAATATCCGAATACTCGAACACAAATCACTGCAGACAAGATGAGTACAAGATATTGTCGCTAAATATCTTGTTCAAAACAAAACACTACAGATAATAAAACGTTCAGAATCAATTTTTTTGCCATTGACTTATTGTTGATCTAATAATATCTGATTTTTCACTACTCTTGATCAGTCAACTCAAGGAATATTTGAACACAAAAGAAGAAACATGATCAATAACACGTTTGAAACGTATTCAAATTAGAAGCAAATAATGAAAGAAAGCACTCAAAACGAAGCCGCAATCGTCGAAAATAAGAAAAAATGAAAAGAAATTGTTGTAAAGCAAAGCTGGCCAACGTCAGAAATCATCAACAAATACTAGGGGATTTAGGTGGTGCAGAAACTCGACATGTTGACCATCGACAGTGGGTATCATGGCCTGATCGAAGTGTACCAAAGACCCCAATGGCTCCATTTCGTCTCCTTCAATATTCTCGTCATTACACGAACAATCCATCGGTTGTTCACTGTTCGGCCGGAATTGGACGTACGGGAACATTGGTCATGATAGAAATCGCCACCAAGTTCGTCTTCGAAACGAATACCTATCTCCAAATTTGCTTCCATAACATCAGAATCCTCCTCGCTCAATCTCTGCGTCCAGTCAAACGATCATAAACCGTCAATAAGATGCCCAACAAATTGCACAGCAGTTTCAATATGCTAGCATAGTCATCGTTGAAAGAATTGAGAATGTTAGGTTAAATATACTGCAAAGAAGTGATGGCAACAATGTGGTAGTAGGACGATTATATGACAATATATAACAGTTCTGATGCGTCCTGATCCTCATATAAACCAAATATGCTGAAATTCCACAAAATGCATTTGAAATAGGGTATTTCAGTGCTCTCAAGCGAGGAAAGCTACCGGACATGAAGCAGTATTTGAAAGATGTGCGCGGACAACGTTTACAAGCAGTTCAAACCGAGGACCAATATTTGTATATTCATTATGCTATCGTTCAATTGATATTCGTTAAAGGAATTGTATCCGCACGTGAAGTTAGAAGTGTGTTTCCTTTTCGCATTTTTTCGTACTTCGTATCCATTTGTGGGGTGATTACATCCCTTTTCTGCCGGCAGATTTTTCGCAAAAACTGAATTGCGATATCATTTGAAATATCATCAGCAAACATTCAAAATTTTTTCATAAGGTAACAGTTTAACGACGATGGCAATGAAACGCTCGTTTTTGCTCTTATGGATGACCACTTGCTGGTTATTTTTCAGAATTTTGTGCAGAATATGTGGACTATTTGAGAATGTTGAATGAAAACGATGGCAAGCCTTTACCACTTGAGATCACCTCCCCTGCTTCGAAACCAGCTAATCCGAAAGAGACTGCTGATGCTGAACGAAAGAAAAAGCATCAGGATAAGGTGACATTCAATGAAGCGGATCAAAAAGAAGGCAAGAATGAAGGTGTGTCATTGACCAGTGAATAAAATTCTTTTGAAGATGCTTTATTGAGATGCCATTCCTTGGTAGAAATAGATATTTCCGTCATGACTGCATTTGAGTCAAATTACAAAATGCAACTATCAAGCCAAACGACATACTTATTTCAGATTCTAGGTCAAAATTTTGAAAATTTTTGCTGATTTCCAGTATTGTAGCTTGTTCCTTCGCTGAGCAAGCTTTTTGTCTGAACAAATCCACACGTCTCTCCTCATTATCTTTTATTAAATTTCTTCAGCTTCACCTAATGCACCAAGCACGCCAAAACGAGCAAATATCAGAAAAGAAACGGAAACCGAAGTTCAGCAAGAGAGCGATAAAGAGAAACATAAAGCCACGACCGGCAAAAACGCTGATGCAATCAAAAAATCTCCCGTGAACGACGGCAAAAAAGAAGTAAAGTTGAAAGATGAGGAAAAAAACGATAAAGACGTTAAGGAGGACAAAAACGATTGTGATAAGAAAGTACTTGAGCAGAACAATCCAGACGAAGCAAAACGGGAACAACGCATCAAAAAACCGGGAGACTCGAAAGATGAGAAGGAAACAAAAGGTACGCAACCTCAAAAGAACGAGGAGATTAGATCAGCCTCCTCACTGCAACCAGTTTCAGTAGGTGAGCTGATATTCGGCAAGCAGATTAAAGAAGCAAAAGATACGCAACCACGAAAGAACGAGGATATTAGATTAGCCACCACACTGCAGCCAGTCTCAGTAGGTGAGCTAATATTCGGCAAGCAGATTAAAGAAGAACAGCTCGTGAAAAATGCTAAAATGAAAGACAGTCTTCGAGGGAATGTTGAGGTGAAAGAGAACAAAACGATAAACTTGAGTAAGCAGACTACTATAACTGCGGTTAGCGGATCAAAGGAGGATGATAAGCCAGCACAAGCGCAGGCCATTCAGACCATTCCTGCACAACCATCAACTCTGCCAGCCTCCCCGAATAAAGCCAGCCTGCCCGCTTCAACTCCAGCAGATGACCGAAAGACTAACCAACCCAAACGAAAAATCACTTACGCTCCAGCGAAGCTTTATACGGTGGTTCAACTTGGAGCTAAACCAGGTTTGCAGATCATTCTAACAGCTTACTGCGTGGTCATAAAAAGAACCGGTAACCGGATCCAAAATGACCTCAAAATTTCGAATTCTCATCAAAATTTCGACTTCGTTAACGATAACCGAAATTTCTGAACTTCCTCTTATCTCGTGGACTGAACGAAAAACAACAGTTTCGTGCCCAGAAATGAACAAATTGATGATTGCAATACTTTCAGCCTTTTATACGTTTCACAAAGACGTCAGTCAAACAAAGCCCACACTGAATCCACGGTGACTTCCTCATGGAAACGATTCAATCTTGATGCAAGAGAATCGAAGTTTGCTGAGTATCCATACTACGATTTTCGTCCGCAAAATCATTGCTCTTGTCTAATGTATATCAATTATTTACAGGTGTAAAGCATTGCATCGAATAAAAGTTTCGTTTGATTCAATGTATAGAAATGTTTAAATCACGAATATCATTCATTGGTATCCCTTACTCAAGAACTCGCACAGTTCTCTTCAATGCAAAAGAGAACTTGCATAGTTTTCTTTAGCATCGAGGAGAATTCGCACAGCTCTCAATGCAAAAGAGAACTTGCTTACTTTAGTTTTCTTTAGCACTGAAGAGAACTCGCACAGTTCTCTTCAGTAAGGAGGACTATTCTTGTGTTCTTGTAGCTTCGCTTTGCCCACATTATATCCATTGCTTATTACAATTGAGGAGAAATGGAATTTGCTGTATTGCGCGTTCGCATTCCTCTGATGCCTTTATAATTGTTTTGGGCATGCCGAAGCATATAACGCGATTATATGTTCCTACGGTTTTCAGTGTTCTGTTTGGATTCATTCAAATCATGTCACCTCATTATTTAATAGTGGTAATGAAACCTATTAAAATTGTGATGATCGATTCGAATGATTCTAGAAATGCTATTCAGCTTGCGCAAATTTTTGTCCATAAAGCTGATAGTTGTGGATGTCAGCAGTTTGTTTTATGTGTTCATGGGTTAATGTCAAGCATCTATCGGATCAAACGTGTTTTCCATTCATCATTTATTCAAGTTTTTAGGCAATTTCAGGCGTATTCCAAAAAAAAAATTAGGATTGAAAGTAAAACTCATACTGATAACAAACACGTAATAATAATAGTAAATATAATAATTGTAATGATAATAATGATAGTAACAGTAACAATATTAATAAAATGTACAAATATAAGAATAAATATAATAATATAAAATAAGAATAAATATGACAATAATATTGCAGTGGTAATCTATCCTACTGTAGTATTCAAAAAGAACAGTTTAAAGGACAACCAGAGTCTGATGAAAACTGTTTTATTCTGTTCCAAACTGTTCCTTCGAACTGTTCTGTTCTATTCCATGGATCAGAACAGGAATGGAACATTTTAACTGGAATGGAGACATCACTAGCCGCACACGCTATTGCACCAGGTACGTTACAGTAAGCTTGCACCAATACGAGCGGGCGGTCTAGGCGAGGAGGCGTGGCTTAAAGCTGAAAGTACATGCAGCTAAGAGATTACTGTAGTTGCGAATGCTGAAATGCACTTCATCAGTAATTCTTTCTCATTAAGTATTTTTTTCTTGAATTACTAATTTATTACTATCATCGGTACCCTCACAATCAGAAAGGCACACCAAATACAATTCGCTTAAATTTGCAGAACTGAAAAATTCGTGAATTTCAACTAACCCTCAACATTTAGCATATTATTTGGTTGATTTCTGTAAGTGCGCAACCTTTTTCAATACTTCGCCAGCTTACATATTCATAAACCCATTCAAAATTCATATATTCAAATTATGCTCAACATTCCGATGTAAATTTGCTAGCAGAATATCTAACAACTTGATTTTGCCATCAACTTAACTTCATTGTTCTATACAAGTCACCCGACGGCGGTCTGTCACTAATCAGACCGCAATTTTAATTTATAAAGGTGAGCAGCATGGAGCTCGAATTCTAATTGATTTTCATCAATGACATGAAATGATTTTACTGTTTGTTCTGCTCGGAATCAGTCAAATCAATCATGAAAGATCAACAAAATAAGAGCACTCATCGCATTTAGGAGATGAGTAATAAGAAGGAATTTGGAACGGCCAACGGAACGTCCTCCTCAGTAGCTCAGGTTCAAACAAGTTCTCGTCGCAACGTTGCTGGTGATATCTTTTCCACAGTTTATTATTTGGTTTGTGACATTCAGAATTTCAATACAGTTTCAACTAACGCGTAAGACACCGTCAGACTGGTGATCAGTCTCTATGTGGAGAAAACTCAACGTTGAATCAATCAGCACCGCCAATTCACAGTCCTATTAAACAGTACAACTCAGAAATATTTTACCGAAACGATTGAATACTAAAAGCCCGATTAATTTTGCGGTTAGCAATTGTAACAACAGTGAACATCACTCATCCTCAGCGGAATTCGAAGATTTCATAGCCACGAGCAATGGAAGTTCTACCCAAAAAGTGTTTATACGACAAGAAATCCTCATCATTCTCATCGAGCATTTCAGATGGGCAATTCATACGAAAACATTGAGGGAATGCTGAAACTTATGAAACATAAACAAGCTACTGAACAGCAGTCAAAAACGATCCCACCAAAAGAGCAGCTATGCATCAGTCCAGNTTCACCAATCTCTTCAAGGTCTCAGTACACTCAATAAGCGTTTCCATATTAACGGCACCTAAATGCCAAAATCTCAATATTTATGCCACCCACACCAATGAGGCGAAATTATCATTTCAGCAGCCAAACATCGCCATCTCCAGTGCCAAGCATTACTATCAAACAACCCACCAAGAAAGTGGTGCATAGAAAGGCTGGTAGGCGTGATGAATTGTTCTTCAACAGTCATTCAACAGATGAATTTCTACAGCTTTGAAAATTCTCTTACAGATGAAATCTTTCCTATTTCAGGAGATTTTCTAGTTCGACGTTACCAATCATGTGTTGATTTTACAACTCTTTCGAAGGAGAAAGTTAGCAAGCAATTACATTCATAAAGTTTGATTTTTCCATTCGTTCAATGCAATTTGTACAATAAACATGAATTCATGAGTTTTCAGCAGGTCAATTTGTTTGAATTATAGATGCACAAGAAGGCGTTAAAAAAGGATAAATTTTCGCTGAAAGAAAAGAAAACTCTACGAAAAAAGCACCATTATGATTCGAAGGCTCATATAAGTAAAAATTCGATGTCACAAGCACCCATGTGTCGACTTATCGGTAACTTCGCACCACTATCATCACTTGAAGTTCAGGAGATGAAAACTGTCCATACAATTCGGTGAAATTTCAGGTCCCGTTCGTGCGCAAACAACTGAGAGTATTGTCTATACGGAATATGGCGATGCTATAATTGAGGAACGGATTGAGCTGATCGGCTACGGTCCTCGTGACAAAACCAAAGGACAGATCCGGCTGAAGCCTCAGGTGAAGACGGTGAACAAAAAGGTGGAACGTTTATGCAGTATCAAACAGCTACTGATTTTTTGTATGCTAGCGATCAACTGGAATACAGCATAAGATCATTCCGTTAATCACTATAAGACATAAACGATTCGAAAACTGATTACAGTCCTTTTCAGTAATGCGTATGGTTTCCGATTACGAGAATCATCCAAATTGATTCACACCAACATTTTTCGATTATTCTACGAATCTTCGATGAGACCGTCGCGATTCGACGACTGACGAAAAAATCTGTGAGAATTTGAAAGGCACCTGTCAATTTCAGCAAATGAGGGACGCAGACCAGCCGCTACCAGATACGAAGCAAACAGTGTTGATCGCAGATAATTACGTAAGGTTGAATCGACTGACGAGACTCAAACGTCCGAGACGCACAAAACACATAGCCATACCCAGCAAATACGAAGAAACACAACAGTTCAGCTCGAACGCAAACGGTAAGACGCTGAAAATGTTCAGTTGACTAATCAAAACTGAAATATCGCTTACTCACTTGATATAAGTGGTTCATTTGAATGTTATCCGAATGAGTAAAGCAGCAATCGAATTCCATCACTGGTGGATTATTCGAAGGCACCACCAGGAATAAGTGCAACTGAAATATAATCAGTTGTCATTCCAATCAGATTTAGACTCGAATCTGCGCATACACGACGGAAGTAGCATTCAGAAATCTTACAATCCTTCTGCCTCCTTTTCCTAACTGTTCAAAAATCAGCTACGATTCAACAATGAAGTGCAATTTAGTCAGTAATACTTTAAGTATCTCTCAAAAACATCTATAAGATTACAACTCAAGGACTCAGTTGAATGAATTCGTATGTTCCAGTGAGCGAATCAGCAAGAGCAGTTCGGAGCAATACGCGATTGTGGGGCAATCGGAAACACCGTCCAGTGTTGACGGCACGCTCGGATACAGCACTTAGTGAGATGCGTATTTGTAGTTTGACTGGTCTATTGGATGTGATTTCGAAACAAGAAGTGAGTAGTGATGGTTATCGCGGATATACAATCAGTGAAACCATCGAACTCAGGGCTAATGGTAGCAAGGCTGAGCCGGTTGAGGTTGGTAACGATTCACACAACATTTGTTAAACCCAACCGGGACCGAATTCGATGTTTGTCATGAATCGTAAATCGATTTTGGCACATTTCGAAAACGAATCCACTTAAGAGATAGGTCATCATTCGTTGTATAATTCAAGCATGGCGTCAATACCGCAATATACTACCAATATCGTATGTTGGTTTTAGAGTGGACCTCAGATCTTAAACGTTTTCATGAAAGCAAAATACTATGTCATCACAGTTCATAATTCCAAATTCCATTTTCAAAAGCAGTTCAACTTTAAAACCTCCTTTTTTTTCGTGTCACTTCAGATCGTTTCACTAATTCATAACTGTCAAAATTCTAA